CCCACGTGGCCGCTGCGAGTCCCCCTGTGCTGGATCCATCCTGGGTGCATCTCCCTGGCTGCTCCCACCCCTCCGGCCGCGGCTCCAGCGGGGATTCCAGCGCAGGGACCTCCCCGCCGAGACAAACCCGGGATTTATCGGCACATGTGCGTTGCCCCTGGATTCCTCACGGCGGTGGCAGCGCTGCGGATTACCGATGTGGTGACGCTGGTTTATTGCTGCCTGAAGTGGATTTATCCGTGCGGCAGGGCCCGGGCTGGCTGCTGGTGTAAATCACCGCTGGCAGGAGCCTCGGGGATGTGGCTGCATCCTCGGCATTCCTGCATCCCTGGGGGTTTTATTGCGGGGCTCCCCATGGGACCATGCACTGCACACCACAGATCAGCTGCCCCTTCTCCATCTCACTCACTTGTGCCCACTGAAACGAGAATAAAATGGTGATAATGCTGCAGACGTCCTCTGGAAAGGGCTCTGAGGCAGATGAAAAGCCCTACTTAAGAGTGAGGCCATTATTATTAATAACTTGGAGCCAGGCTGTAAATTCAGCCGACACAGCTATTATGGGAAATGAACCTGCTCCCGTGCTGGCTGCCAGGTGTGGGATGGGGATGGAGAGCAGGGCTGGATAACCCCGTGCTGCTGCTGGGCCGTGTCCACAGCTGGGGCAGCAAGGCCAGAGGGGGCAAAACCCCTTGATTTCATCTCTGGGGTGATTTCTTGGCTTTTCTGGGAAGGATGGAGGTGTGAGGGAGGGATCCTGGGGCACAGCAGGAAAGGAGGTGGCTGAGCTTTGCAACAAGGCTGAGACCTGGCCCAAGCTCAGGTCAGGGGTGATGCAGGGTGTGAGGAGCATGGGCAGAGCTGAGTGTTGGCAGAGGCCAGGGTGGCACAGCTGAGGCTGGGCAGGACCCTCCATGGCCATCCTGTGCCCGTCTGAGGAGCATCCAGGGCAGCATCACACCTTGGCAAAGGCTACATTAAAACAAAAATAACTCGGTGCCGCTCAGTGCCCAGCGCCTGCAGCCAGGTCAGAAAAAGGCAAAGATGCTGTGGCTTCCATTCCATCGGGATGACCTCACCTCCAGCACTGCCACCCCTGAGCAGGGCAGGGGGGGACCCAGGGTGGCAGAGCTGGACATGGAGGGGGTGTGGAGTGCCATGAGGTGCCACACGGGTGTCACGGGGGTGCAGAGCATGGCCATGGGCTCGTGGTGCTGCCTGTACCCAGCTCGGGAGCTTCTGCGGGGGAACGAGCTTTGATATAAATATCTTTTTGCTCAGCACACGACCTACTTTCCAGACAATGCCATTAGCCTCCCGACTCCCTCATTCATCTTCTGCCGTCCTCCCCCAGCCCTCCCTGTGCTGGCACCTGTGCCAGCACAGCACACAGGCCATGGAGGGGTGAGCCAGGATGGGCACCTGCCTCGGTGGCGCCCTGGGGACCCTGTGCTGGCCTTGGGGACAGGCAGCAGCCCCATTCTCACAGCTGTTGCTGCTCCTGCTCTGGTTTGGTAGAGGGTGGCTGGGTCTCCTTAGGGGTTTCTCCACCCCATCCCACAGGATACTCAGATGTGTCTCCTCTCTCTGCCTCCAGCCCCATTCCCTGCAAAATCCATGCCCTGGGTGGCAAATGCCCCATCCAGGGGCATCCTCAGCCAGGCACAGCCTCCTTGGGTACATCCTGGTCAGGAGCACAGCAGAGCATCCATGCATTGGCCCAGGGGAGCGTGTGGGGCTAAGACCCCTCCTGAGCACCCCCAGAGCTGGTGCTGGACCCACACACGTGGTTCATCCAAGGATGATCCTGCAGGAGCTCCATGTGCTGGCAGAGGCTGTGCTGTGCCGTTGGCTGGTGGCATTAGGGGCAGGTTGGGCAGAGGTGCCCAGCCCCACTGCCATGACAATGCCCAGCCCCTCTGGCTCATGGGGATGGCTCTGACACCAGTTTTCCCCCCAGGAGCTGGAAACATCTCTCCAGGCCCACCCCACCACCTGCACACCTCCGTGCACCCCTGGGATGAGCCCCCGCTCCTCCCCTGCAGCTAAAATTAAATATTCAATTTGTATTGCTGGTAAATCCTGCAAATCTCTTTTATCTCTAAGCTGTTGTAGCAGGAATATCGGTGGTGTAATCTGCATGGGGGCTCATCCCACTGCCCTTCACAGCTCCCTGGCTTGGACCACGCTCCCTTTTCCCCACATTTCTCTCTGGGATGCTTCTGGATGGTGGAGCAGGTCTCCAGTGCCAACAGCAGAGCTCCCCATGGCGCCCATTCTGTGGGTGCTGCTGGCTTTGGGGACAAGGCTGTGCATGGTCCCCAAATGGTGATGGAGGTGTTCTTGGCCCAGGTGATCCAGGTGGTCTCACCAGAGCATCCCCCACGCCTGCTGTGTCCTCACTCACCAGCCGTGCCCCCCTCCCCGTGCTCTGTACCCGCGCTAAGAGCATTGTGCAGAATTATGTATTTAAATATTTAGGTTTTCATCAGCTTTGCAAATTAAGCCCATCCATTAAAGCGGCAGTTTGGGTCCTCTGCTGGCAAGCTGGGCTGTGCCAAGCCTCGGGCTGGCTCTGCTCATCCCAGCCCTGGCCCCAGGGGATGCAGCCTGGGAATGGGACGTGATGGCCCCGAGCATCCCTGCTGGATGGGATCAGGGCTCTGCTTCCTCCCCGTTCCTGGAAACTCCGGGCCCTTGGGAGGGGTGTGGTGCCCTGAGGGGAACCAGCTGGGATTGGTGTTGATTGGGATTGGTGTTGTTTGGGATTGGTGTCATTTGGGATTGGTGTCATTTGGGGTGGAGCAGAGTGTTCCTTGAGCTGGGGAAAGCGGGATAAGGAGCAAGGCTGGTGACAGGTGAGAGCAGAGCAGGGATGGCAGTGCCAGCCTGCTGGGGGCTCAGTGGCACTGGAGCTGGGCATGGAAGGGGCAGCCTGCCCAGGGGCTTGGAGGAAATGGGCAGGAGATGGTCAGAGCTGGCACTGCTGCCACGCTCAGTGCTCAGGCTGTGCTGCCCCCAGCTCACCAAAGAGGCTCTGGAGTGATCCCTGGCTCAAGTCATTACACAGCGTAGCTGGGGAGTAAGTGGCTCTTAAAACCTTGGGGCCTGACTGGTGGCTCCGTGTGGGTGGGAGGGAAAATGGGGGTGATGGGGAAATGGGGTCCATCCAACACCAGGAGGGAAAATGGGGGTGATGGGGAAATGGGGTTCATCCAACATGAGGAGGGAAAATGCGGGTGATGGGGAAATGGGGTTCATCCAGCACCGCTGCCAGCTGGGGTCCCTGGCACAGATACTGGGCCTGAGGGAGCTGCCGCGGCCCCCAGTGCCTCTGGCACAGGCAGATTTAACCCCTGGGAGAGGCTGGAGCCCACCTGGGGCACTGCTGGATGTGCCCATGGCAGTGTGGGCAGAGCCCCAGGGTGAGCACAGCACAGGGGATGTCCCTGCTTGTCCCTTCCCTTCTCTGCAGGTGAGCAGCAGGCTGTGGCCTCTCCCTGGTGTCACCTCCCTGTCCCCCTTTCCCAGCAAGCCCTGGAGGCACCACAGGAGCTGCAGGCTGCCCCAGGCAGGGCGGGCAGATGTCAGTGTGTCCATGGGAGGGGAGCTGTCCGTGGGCATCACTGCTGATGGGTGCCCATCTGTGTGCCTC